GTGTGTGTGTATATNTATATATATATATATATATATATATATGTGTGTATATGTATATATATATATGTATATGTATATGAATATGTATATGTATATGTATATGTATATGTATATATATCTTACACGCACTAATGTTTATATTCCAATTTACTCACAGCTCCGTCTACGTCTTGTTTACCAACTGGCAGCTAGCACAAGAATCAAATGACGCCCAACATGCTGCAATTATTGCACTTTGAATTAATACCAATCAGCACACACATACCTTTTTTGTTTACTCGGTTTCCAATTTCACAACCTGTCCAATTGACATACACAACTGCACACGTACTGGTATACAGCATCGTCATTCATTTTACCTACTTTTACGTTACTATCACTTTTACTACGCACCACAATATGTAATAGAATTTACAATTGTATTCAATATTAATAATAGATACATCACAAACTATAGTTTTACTTCAAATACCTTTATGACTTTACCAAAGGCCCCGTGTTACATTCGTATTCAATATTATTAAAACGTATAATAAAAATATAAAGTCTTACTTCAATCAGATGCTACCAGTTCCCCTTCCCAATCACTTGTATCCTCCATTGCATTGCACACGTGCATAGCACATCAAACCTGTTCCGGCCCTCAATGCACTGATGTCCACTTAAACCATGCAGATTATTTTATTACTTTTGCAAAATTATCACATATACTATGCACAATACTTAAATCATGTCAAACAATCAGTTCTTCTTGATTGCACATAAATACACACGGGTCACACTGCGCAGCACAACAAGCCAAACAATGCACACCTACATGCCTTCAAGAATACAGTCTTATATTCTTCTTACGAAGTATTATACATTCCTTTACATACGCTGTTCACATCACTTGCACTCCTCATATGAATAACCTCAAGAACTCTCCAACATACAACTATATATTCACCTAACATGACCATTCCTTATCAATACCTTGCTATTTGGCCTCTTTTCATACTTTACACATCAAAGTTCACAGTTCTCAGATTTCCTAATAAATGCAAGCATCAACCATGCCGACACTATTTTGTTTACTCCCCCTTTATTTTACTACTCCCAAATCTTCCAAATCCTAATTTTCTTTCCACTTCAAATTTACTTCTTCAATTTCAAATTTTCTTTCCCTCTTCAATCTTTCCCTTTCAATTTCAAAATCATGTGAAAAAAAATTCTACAAAGTTAACGCTTTCAGTCCCCATGTCGGAGACATGTTTTATATATATTTTTTATTATTTTTAATATTTTTTATAAAGAGCAAAAACAAAAACAAACTTATTTAAATAAAATAACAATCCCAAAAAATCGTAAGTCCTATGTACCACGACTCAACGAGTCTATACATTAGAATATTCGGTCACGGTGTCGTGTTCCGTGTTCACGTTCTGGATTCCCGGTGCTCGGACAAAGTCTCCCAAGGACTAAGGAGTGCCTCTCAACTATTTACTCTCTCTATCAAGTGAGAGTACATAGACTTAAACTAAAGGAGTATAGAGTATAGAATTATAGGCATCTTAATTCAGTATTCACATCGTCGAAAATGAAAAATCGAGATTAGATTTTATTATACTTTTCATTAGAGTGTTCTCTATTTCTTTTAAATATTTTATTCTGCAATAATTTATAATTTACAGTAAAATTTATTACGAATAAAGTATTGTTCTTCGAAAACATTATATACATATCATAATTTCATAAATATTATAGAATCCCTGACCCTAATTTCCTGTCCTGATCCCGATTTGATCGTGGCCCGCAATCCCAAGATTCCACAAATCCTTGACCAAACCCTAAAATCCCTGAGTCCAAAAATCCCGGTCCACAATGTATACTAGAAACCCTAAACCCTGCCCAAAGATTTAGACTGTAGTATCCTTTATTGATTTTTGGCTCGGCCCTAGTCAAAGCCCACGATTCAGGTAGTCTTAGCAATCCTCGTCTATCCTTTCTTAATCCTTTGTGTTAAAGTCTGAGGATTGCAAGTTACTATACTACCCTATTTATACAATTTCCGACAGACCCGTAACGGTCTAAAGGTCTACAACTAAAGTCTAAATGTCTACGTAATGTCTACGAACTTTAAGCTCTAACCTATTCGCGATTTCTCATTAATTCTAGGTTTTGTCGTTTCGCAAGGGTCATGTGATGATGACTCATCAAAATTCATTGGCCACAATTTTTCGACATTCTGCACTGAAATTTCGAGAATAGTCCCAGACCCAAAAACAATCCAAAATCCGGATTCCCCCGCGAATCCCGAATTTTCCCGATAAGGAATTGCCGACTCATACACGCCCACCGATCTTAAAGATTGTAGTCTCTTCACACGGTAGTCAGTATCAACGGTGAAGTTACGGATCGCATTGATACTTGACTTGAAGCTATTCCAAGTGCTCGCGGTCTCAGTCCATTTCCCCTTCGCCAATGCTGGATATAAAGTTCTCTAATCCTCAGGGCAGAGATTCTGCAATATCTTGAAGAACTTCTGGCAGTCCCCAAACCAATTAGCCCCTTTCTTGGTCTTAACATATCTATCAAGATCCTCAGAGACCTCATTGAACTATTCAAAAGAGTTCTTGAACTCCTTCAATGTAACAAGTGCGCGTATAGTTTTAGCTGTACCAGGAGAGCCGCCTACAGCAAGCTTAAGCTGCTCACGATGCACACGGACGTTGTTAACACCTGGAGCACGAATATCGTAGTGGTCCCCATCGTAAGGCCCACGTGTGACATACATGTCCTTATCAACCCATACTGTGGCCATCTTATCGGAGACGTTATCACGGCGTTTCCAAACGATATCACCTATCTCTCACGGTGAAGGATTAGTAGCGTGGACCTCAGCGTTAGCGATGCGTTTCTGTTGCGCCTTCTGCAAATTACTGCGGGCCATTTCGAGTATCCTCCATGATGTACCGTCCTCCCGGCGAAAGAGCATCTCGACGGGTGACAGCTCCGATCCGCTGTAAATCGTTCGATTGTAGGCCAAGATAATCTCCCACAACTCCTTATTACTATTAAGTGAGGCCATCGACTTCTTGAGCCTATCCTTTAGGTTTCTATTAGTTTCGTGTCGCTCCACGGTGGTGTAATATACGTGCACACCAATTCTACCTTAAAAGATGATGAACTTAGCATTGTCAAATTCTTTCCCGCAATCGACTGTTATCTAATCGGGGATACCAAACGCCAAAGAATCATACGAATGCCCGTTTTCTCATTATAGGATACATAGAAGACATCCATATGGACTCTTTCCATGAACCTCTCGGCGTCCTTAACGACAGATGGTAACGCTTTTGAGGAGTCTTTGCGCATTAATGCACAAGCCCGACAGGTTTGAACGATACGACGCACTTGCATCTCAGATACATCATCGTTCGTCACCTTGCAGTAGAAGTCGGCTAGGCATTTGTAGCCTACATGAGCAAGATCCTCATGGAGCTCCATAATCAACTCTGGTTCCGCTGTCATGAGTGACATAACAACTGCAACCGACTGATCGTCTGCAGAAGCTAGTCTAGATAATGTATCAGCATCGCCCATTAACTCATCGTTAACATAGGTGTGTCATCATCACCAAAGCGTTCTTAAAGGCCCAGCAATGGCAAGTGGTCTGTTTCAATGTATACCAGCCCTGGCGGACGATCTAACAGTCGTGCCCATCGATCGTAAGCCCAAACAATAGCTAGGACCACCAATTCTGTTATAGAGTAGAGATGCTGTCAGCTCCAAGACCCATGCGACTTGCATCTGTGCGTAGCACCAGAATATCACCCTCCCGTGGCGACACTAGCGGTGGAGCCTCTCCCAATGCGTCTAAAAAGAACTTCCATGCATCAGCTTGCTCTTATCCTCAGGTAAATGTCACTTCTTTCTTTAACATCTTAGCGACAGGTTGTATGATAAAAGAGATCTTTGGCATATAGCGATGCCACCAGTTAGCTGTAGCATAGAGACTTCGAAGTTCCTCTTTAGGGGGATTTTTTTAATTGCCACAGTACTTCCTCTATCAATGCTATATGCTCATTAATTGTCATAGAATACAGAATCGCATCATCTAAGTATATGAACACGCCCTCGAAATCACCTATGATTTCCTCCATCAACGATTGAAAGGTAAATCCGGAGTCCACAAGCCTCATGAGCATTACAGTATAGCGATATCTTTGTCCTTCAGACGTAAGGTAAATCACCTATGATTTCCTCCATCAACGATTGAAAGGTAAATCCGGAGTCCACGAGCCTCATGGGCATTACAGTATAGCGATATCTTTGTCCTTCAGACGTAAGGTAAATCACCTATGATTTCCTCCATCAACGATTGAAAGGTAAATCCGAAGTCCACGAGCCTCATGGGCATTACAGTATAGCGATATCTTTGTCCTTCAGACGTAAGGTCGCGTAACTTCGAGCGGTATCCGACAACTTAACCTGCTAGTACCCCCTAACCATATCCAATTTGGTATAATACTTATACCCAGAGGCTTCTCGTACCAGGTCTTCCTCCTTCGAACTCTCGATATTTAGCCTGGCGATTCAGAAGCACCAAATTCGCACAAACTCTCCGATCACCCTGTTCTTTCTTGGGCACCACAACCGGCTGAAGATTCCACAATGTCCTCCAACCGCATCGTTCGACTACCCCTTCTTTGAGCATGGCCAATATTTCCTCACGGATTGCCACTCACTTCTCAATGTTCTTTTCTTCGTAGTACACGTATACTTGAGTAGCGCCATCCTGTAAAATGATTTCGTGCTCAGGTCCCTCGCTTGTCGAGTACTCCCCATCTGTCCAACATAGCTCTTTAAAAGCTCAGAGATGGCGGCAGTTATTCATTCTTCCTGCACAGATGCCTCCTCACAAACCGAGTCTGTTCCTTGCCAAGAAAGGCCCTCTTCTAGCTCTAGATATGATCCGTGCGGGATCTCACAGTCATCGACGATCCCAACACACGATCCCGTATCCAAGGCCATCTCAATAGTGGCATGTGAAACACTCCGTTATCTACCACCTCAAATATTTCCTGAGTATCAACCTCAGCGAAGTCAACATCGAGCGTTACCTTCCCTAGCAAAAGTATACGCACACCAAATTCATCCAGTAGTCTCTCCTCCTTCGTTTCTGGACCAGCCAAGCCCTTCGGTGGTATATTTATCTCGCCCCGCTGTCCAATATAACCGACACTGTACGACCATCTATTAGCAAGTCCTCTCTTCAAACTTTCTTGCTATCCACAATGCGCCGTACGGCAGCCGTATGTCATTCTTGTTTGCATACCGCCTGCATGTGGCCCTTTCTACCACACTTTCGACAGTCTCCATCGAACTTGTAATCTTTCGCAAAATGGCCCTTCTTGCCACACCTATTGCACCGGTCTAAATTTGCGCCACCGGTGACATTGGTAGCTGTGTCGGTGGTCTGTGACTTTTCCATAATCGATCCTGCTATGTCTGCAAGCTTTATCGCTTCTGTCAAGTCTTGACGGTTCACCTGTGCTTAAGACGAACTTCCATCTTCAGCTGATCCGTCAGTCCACGAATGAAGATAGCAACCTTCTCCTCGTCAGCAATGCGCGGTACATTGAGTAGAAGCTCCTGGAAATTTTCAGTATATGCACGCACCGAACCAGTCTGACGTACTGCCATAAGCTTCTCTCGGCAGTCGTTTTGCAGACTGGCAGACATCTCCCCCCAAGTGTTAAAACACCCGGCAGTCTCGCGATACCATGCCAATTCACGGCCACTAAGAAACGTACTAGCATATTGTAACTTCACGGCTACTTCGACATCATGTCCGGTTGCAACCCGTTCCGCTGCAAACATCTGTTTCATTCGATATAGCCATTCGCGAATGCTGGACACATCGGCCTTCCCATCATACACGTCTGGCTTTCTACTCTTCTAAAATTTACTGCACGGGCCTCCCCAATCTCTCAGTGACAATGTCTAATGCAATTTCAATCGTAAAATTACAGTATAACTATGCCCAACAACAGCTGACAGGAACACTGGCGGTACAGTTCCCTTATACGGCACCTCGCTATAGAGGGGCTTCACAGCAACCTAAATTATAGGATCACTGACCCTAATTCCTGTCCTGATCCCGATTTGATTGTGGCCCGCAATCCCAAGATTCCACAAATCCTTGGCCAATGAATTTTGATGAGTTATCATCACATGACCCTAGCGAAACGACAAAACCTAGAATTAATGAGAAATCGCGAATGGGTTAGAGCTTAAAGCTCGTAGACATAACGTAGATATTTAGGCTTAATTGTAGACCTTTAGACCGCTACGGGTCTATCGGAAATTGTATAAATAGGGTAGTATAGTAACTTGCAATCCTCAGACTTTAACACAAAGGATTAAGAAAGGATAGAGGAGGACTGCTAAGACTATCTGAATCGTGGGCTGTGACTAGGGCCGAGCCAAAAATCAATAAAGGATACTACTGAGAAATTTCGTCTAAATCTTTGGGCAGGGTTTAGGGTTTCTAGTATACATTGTGGACCAGAATTTTTGGACTCAGGGATTTTCGGGTTTGGCATCAATTTTCGACAATGGGCACTGAAATTTCGAGAATAATAGATCCGGATTCCCCCGCGAATCCCGAATTTTCCCGATTAGGAGTTGCCGACTCTTACAATATGCGGATGAAAAAAAATATGATTTCAGAATTTGCTGTTGTTCTTTTTTTATTGTAAATATTTTTTAGGTACAAAAGTCTATAATCTATTAGTCTGAAGTCTGAACTCTGAAATAGTAAATACAGATCTTTCACATACCAGTGCCTCCCAAAGTAGAGGACTGGGAAATGAGTCTTTCTCCCTATCTCAGTATTTATTTACATAAATATTTTATATTTATCTCTCTTTACTTTTAGAGTCTCTCGATCACTCTCTCAGAGTCTCTCTCGCTAGAGAGAGTAGAGTAGTATATAAAGGCCCAAAGAGGTCGCTCTCTCCTGACCTCTACTCAGACTACTCTACTATTCAGGGGTAAAAACAAACAATGGTTAATAAACATTGATTATTGACTTTGGTTTTTTCAAAATATATTTACATTTTTCGTCAAGAATCAGGCAGGTCACATATGTGTTTGTATTTTTGAATATAAAAGGTACTGGTATTTGCGTTAGGATGGTTAAACATATTGAGACTACTACTACTGATTCCCAATTGTAAGACAATGTCCGCCCCTACCGGATCAACAACAAGCTCATCCGATGAGGGATTTGGCGAGACGCCATCCGACTCACTACCGATGCGTCCAAACGCTCGACGTATTATCAGGCTCGTTATAAATCAGGAGGAGGAGCATAGGGAAGCGACCAGGATACTGGAAGAATCGAATGAGACGTTGGAGGTCAGGACTGGGGAATTGACGGACATGACTGAGAGGTGGGAAGAAGTGACTACGACTTTGGTGATCACAAATGAGACGCTGGAGGCCAGGACTGGGGAGTTGACGGACATGACTGAGAGGTGGGAAGAAGTGACGACGACTCTGGCGAACACGAACGAGACGTTGGAGGCCAGGACTGGGGAGTTGACGGACATGACTGAGAGGTGGGAAGAAGTGACTACGACTCTGGCGAACACGAACGAGACGTTGGAGGCCAGGACTGGGGAGTTGACGGACATGACTGCGAGGTGGGAAGAAGTGACTACGACTCTGGCGGAGACGAATGAGACGTTGAATAGAACGAGATCAGATCTGGAGACCAGGACTGGAGAGTTGACGGGCATGACTGCCTGGTGGGAAGACGCGACCAAGGATCTGGCGGACACGAATGAGGCGTTGAATAGAACGGAAACGGATCTGGCGGCCACGATTGTGGAGTTGACGCACATGACTGAGCGTTGGGAAGAAACGACCAGGGATCTGGCGGAAAGGACTTCAGAGTGTGAGACTCTTCGTGAAAACCTGGCCGAACAGGAGGGTACATATCTAAATCGGGTCCACGAACTTGAGGAACAAGTCCGATCGCTTCAATTACAACCAGCCGTGCCAATTGTGCATGATGCACTCGGGAGGGTCATTGCAGCCACTGACGCAAGACATCTAGTCGGCTGCCTCCCCTCATTTCGTGAGGAGCTAATGTACTATACTTGTTATCCAGCGTCTGAGAAAAATATGTCTGTTGATCTACGGCGTGAACTACTGCAAACAATGGAAATATCGGACGCTATTGTCCGCAGTCTGCAGGTATTGTCGCGCAATTTGCAACCTTCTGTGGAGGAAGATGTGGACAGATTAAACATATTTGGCGACGAGCGCTTTAGGGTTTATGAGTGGAACAGTTACTTAAGCAACTCTGGTCGCTGGCATGTGAATTCCCGTTATGTTTTGGACGACAATATTCGCGCCAACCAAATCTCGATCGAACGACTGAGACTGCATTTCACCCGAATATAAAAACCTCAATGCGTACATCTTAGGAAACTTAATCAACGAGATCAGTGCAGTGACCACTGAATCAAATAAACATATTTATACAGTAACAAAAAAAAAGTATATATATATCTATATCTATATATATGTATGTACATATACAAATATATATATATATATATTATAAAAATATATATATACAAACACATATATATATACATATACAAACATATATACATATATGTATATATATATTTATATATATATATATATTTGTATGCATGTATGTGTATGTAATTACTTATAATAGACATATTATATATATACATATATATATATATATATTTAAGAATATATACATATATATATTATATATATATATATATATATGTACATCTGTATATGTT